TCTCCAGCCCCACCCCAGAACCTCGCACCCCCCAGCCAGAGCCCTCACCCCCTGCACCTCAACCCTCTGCCCCATCCCTGAGCCCCCTCCCGAACCCCAAACCCCTGATCTCCAGCCCCACCCCAGAACCTCGCACCCCCCAGCCAGAGCCCTCACCCCCTGCACCTCAACCCTCTGCCCCATCCCTGAGCCCCCTCCCACACTCCAAACCCCTCAGCCCCACTCCACCACACATCACTTCCATATTGGTGCACATAACAACATTCATTCCACACATGGATGTAAAAAATTAGAGGGAACATTGCCAAACAGGCCTCTAAAAAGCCTTCCAACTTGGCCAATTTCAGTCACTCCTACTGTACTGGAGTACTGCCAGCTTTTGCAAGAAAAGCTTGTAAATGTTACCCGAGCAAACTCTAAAGGCTCAAAAAACAGAAGGAAAAAAAAATCACCCATGAAAGTATCATTAGCTTGCAAGCCCTTTTGGGTGTGCACTGTCTTTCTGTTATGCTTACGCCGCACCTAGCACACTGATCCGTGACAGGGGCTCCTATGCATTACCCCAAGAGAAATAAATTAATAATAATAATACAATTCATTGTTTTAAATCTCATTATTTTGAAGCTGATCTCATTATTTTGGAGGGCCTGTCTCATGAGTGTTGAATGCTTGAAAGCGTTCAAAACTCATGAAAAATTTTTAAAAATACTAAATTTGACATTCATTTTATTTGCCTTCTGGTTTCGTAGCCTTCAGGCTGCACTTGGTCGTGTGCGCAAGCTCTTCTGCACAATCATCATGAGGGCTAGAAACTTTCTTTTTTAAATGAAAGTGGAGACTCTCAGTAATCTTGTGAATCCAGGAGCTGGGGCTTTAAGAAAAACACCCGATACAGCAAGAGGAGTTGGCAACAATGTAAATACCACTCTCGTCTGGATTCAAAGTAGTGCCTAGAAGCCACAGGTTGCATATTCCTTTCCCAGGCCAGGCAGGCTGCCTGCCAGCTTATTATTTAATTAACTTTAAAAATAAACCTCAACCCCTCCTGTCGCACTCCCTGCTATTCCTTACCCCGCTCCCTATTCTCTCTGCCTCAGCTAATTCTGCTCCTTCCCCAGCGAAGTCCTAGTGCCTCTGCTCCCTTTGCCCTCATTTTTACTCTACCTCTCAACATCCTCTCACCTCTCTGCTCTACCTGCCCCATGCTCCTGGCTGGCTTACCCTGACTTCTAGTGTTAATCCCTACTACACAGTCACTGCTACCCTGGCCCCACTATCCCACACTCTGCCCCAGGGCCTTCTGTCCCGCCCCCATCTACTCTCCCAGCCCCAGCTTCTCCTACCCCCACATCCTATCCCAGCTCCTCCTGCCCCCATCCTACCCTCTGCCACATCCCCCAAGCTCCCCTACCCCAGCTCCTTCTGGCTCCATCCCATCCTACCTCCTCCACCTGCCCATCTTATCCCAGCTCCTACACCCCATCCTAGTCCCACCACTAGTTCCTTTTGCCCCACCCTCCAAGCTACCCCAACTCCTCATGCCCCTACCCCGCCCTTCTACCCACACCACC